AGCAAATGGCTGCAATATAACAAAGAGTGAAAAATTTAAGGGGGTCTGAATACTTTCCGTACCCACTGTATATATATAAAAAACATTTAATATATTGTTTTTTTTTGTTCGTTTTTTATCATTATTGTATATAATTGTCTACTCACACCAAGTTGAACAAAATAATAACAAAAAATAAAATTTATATATATTTATATATATATATATATATATATATAATTTCATATTCCTATAAGCAGAGTTTTGCATCAATTTATATATACATTTATTTTTTTCTTGTATTAATATATACAATTATGTACATTCACAGTAACATAAACTAAAATGTAAAAAATATATATATATATTATTCCCTTAGTAAAAAATAAAAACTAATGTAATAATTTATTTAAAATACATTTATTTCATACTACATATACTTGAAATCCATTCATATATTTATTGACATATCACTTAAGACTTACTGACATAAAATTATAATTAAACTTTATTTGGAGTACTACTTGTGCGCAAAGTACATTTTTGTTAATATTATGCCTAAAATGTGTTTTAATATCACTTATTAATAAGTATTGTATAATCTCTGTATAATATCAGTCTTTAAATGCAAGATATTTAAAGTGTTCCTGCAATATTTCCACTTTAGCACAATCAAATATCCTTCAGTATAGCTTTAGTTGGACATCAGCAGTGCATTAAGCACAAAGTTAGTTAGTTTAGCAGTGTAGTAAACCAAAAGTACAATTGCAGGGTGTTTTTATTAAGCACATAAATATGTAAATGTAGTATGCTTGGCACATACATTTTAGTATTTTTTTTCACTATTATTATGGCCCTTTTTAACTGCTTACCCAATTAGACTTGATTTTTTTCCTGTAAGCTCACAGTCTTTGTTTTGCATAATTTTATAATATATATACCAGAATTGTATTTCTGTATAGCAGTGTTATCATCTGGTTTTCTCCTGGATTGAGGTAGAAAACAGCTGGAATTCTGATTTAGATGGCAATAAAATCAGCAACGAGCAGCTGTAAAAGCTGTAGTGACTTTAAACCGTTTCTGTGCGATTAGGCCTGATGTCCATGTCGTTCATGTTGAGTGCGAGTCGTGTGAAGCTCTGATCGCATCAGAGTCAGGCGTGTAATGTGTCTTCCTCCCTCCTCCGTGTAGAAAAGCAAGAGCAGAGCCCCTCGTCTGAGTCCTGGGACGTGGATGAGGGTCTGATCTCTAAACTCAAGGAACAGTACAAGAAGGAGCGCAAGGGCAAGAAAGGGGTGAAGAGTAAGTGGGACAGGAACCTCTCGCTCACCGCCTCCTCTTTCTTTCTTTACTCTTTTATTTCTTCTAGTGCTCAACCGATATCTGCTTTAAACCACTGAAATCTGGAAAACTGGAGGCTGATATGATGCATGTGTGGCTGAAAATTCAGTGAATCTCACGCAAACATGGTCAGGTCATATTTCAAGGATATATGTGACCCTGCAGCACAAAAGCAGTCTTAAGTCGCTGGGGTATATTTGTAGCAATAGCCAACAATACATTGTATGGGTCAAAATTATAGATTTTTCTTTTATGCCAAAAATCATTAGGATATTAAGTAAAGATCATGTTCCATGAAGATATTTTGTAAATTTCCTACCGTAAATATATCAAAACTTAATTTTTGATTAGTAATATGCATTGCTAAGAACTTCATTTGAACAACTTTAAAGATGATTTTCTCAATATTTAGATTTTTTTGCACCCTCAGATTCCAGATTTTCAAATAGTTGTATCTCAGCCAAATATTGTCCTATCCTAACATACCATACATCAATGGAAAGCTTATTTATTCAGCTTTCAGATGATGTATTTCGAAAAATTTACCCTTGTGACTGGTTTTGTTGTACAGGGTCACATATATATTTCGAACTATTAAGATTTTTTTGAATTATTTACACCCCTAATTCTCTTTACTGGTTACTTTAATACCATTATTTTTACAGTATTACTGTAAAAAATATTATTTATTAGTACTCTAATGTATTATTAATTATATACTAATATATTATATTATATTAATGATTATTAATTATAATTATTAGTAATTATGTTTAATTAAATTTATGTTTATGTTAAAAATCTGTTTTATTTAATTGAGGATGTATTAAAAGCAGAACAACAAATACTACCGTGATGTTCAAAATTAGTTTACAGTTTAAATGATATATCATTGTATTTTTTCACATTACGTTAAAGAGAGTTTAAATATGTGTAATTGTAATGAAAATAATACAAAAAATCTTAATGCACTGAAAAAAAATTGTGCAGGATTACTTTTCAATTTTCACATTATTTTCCGTTTTTAAATTGCAGTTTTCCCTCGGAAATTGCTGGTAAATTAAAAAAAATAATTTAAAAATGAAATTTAAAAAGTGGCATTTTGAAGCAGAAAGACTGAAATATTGTTTTTCTAATAAATGTATTTTTGTTTTATTTACAACCTCTAATTTCTTTGTCTTTATGCAAAATAAATTCTCATTTTTTTATAATATCATAATATTCATATTTTTATTTATTTATAAAAAAAAAATATGCATTTATTTTTTATTTTATTTTATAATATTTTTTATGAAATTTGACTCGAACATGTCTTGTTTTTGTGAGATTCACTCAATTATGTATTTATTTTAAAATATAAAAAAATGGAAACTAATTGGTCTGAAGGCCGTTTCTGGCAAAGTTATCAGGTGTTGCTGATCATGTCAGAATTGGCCGCTTGTTTGGCCTGATATATCGGTTTATCACTAGTTTCTTCTAATGTATCTGTATAATCATTAGCTAGTTTGACAAAAATCCAGCCGCTCTCTTCAGTCCTCCCCGTCGCTCATCCGTTCAGTCTTGTCATCCGCTCCTTCTTTTAGGATCCAGCTGCATCTACCGTTTATTTTCTCCTTCTTCATTTTGCTCTTCAGCTGCTCATTTCTGTTGCTCTCTTTGCATTTATGCTGGTGCTCTGAGAGGGGTGTGGCTTATTTGCCCCGCCCTCTGTGATTGGGGGCATGTGTATAAATCAGGCTCCGCCCCTTCCCTGCTTCCACTGTAGTGTTCAGATGAGACATCACCGATCGCTGCTTACTTTATCAATGCTCACTCTAATTGTTCCTCTCTGATTTTTATTCCAGAGCTTCATTTCTTTGTCATTTCATTCTGACTTTGTCACTTTCATCAGAAAACAGTCCTCCTAGACCGTGAAAGCACAGTTAAAGCCTAGACCAGAGATGCCCAGGGTTGACCTTTGATGACCTTTGATCACAATTATTATAGTTAACTAAATCAAAAAAAAAAAAAAAACTATAAAAAACATTTACACTACTTGAAATAAAATAAATGTTAACTGAAGTAAAAAAAAATGCTGGTCTCATTTCGTTTACTAAAATAAAGAACTACTAAAAATGACTAAAACACACAATAAAATTACTAAAACTTTAACTAAAATTAACATGAAATCAGAAAATATAAAGAAAAAATCTCATTTAAAATATTAACAAAAACTAAAATAGTATCTCAATGATACTAAACTTGCACTGCCTTTGATTTATCACAAGAAGAGGGGAAAAAACATGCCATTGAAGCATATCTTCATTTCTAATTAAAAAGTGAATCTGATTAAAAATAATTCTATTCTATACTAATAATTATTTAAATTGTTGTTTAATTATTTAAAAAATACAATTTAATAAATGTGAATATAATATATATTAATATAAAAATGTTATTTCTGTATAGCAGTATTATCTGATTTTCTCCTGGATTGAGGTAGAAAATCAATGAAATTCTAATTAAGACAGCAATTAAAACAACATATCTTCATTTCTAATTTACTTTTTTGTTTAAAACATTTTTTTATTTATTTTTGTAAAATTAATTTGGTATTTAAAAAAAATAGAAATAACATTTTTAAAAATTCTAAATATATATATATATAAAAAATTGTTTAATTATTAAAAAAAAATTATTTTATGCATTTTTATATAATATAGTAATATAACAATTTTATTCTCGTATAGCAGTGTTTATTATCTGAAGGTAGAAAACGGCTGAAACTCTGATTTAGACAGCAATAAAATCCTCATATCTCCACTTCTAATTTACATTTTTTGTTTGTATTATTTTTGTAAAAAAAAAAGTGAATTTGGTTTAAAAAATATATAAATTTCTAATTATTAAAAAAAATAATTGAATACATTTTAATATAATATAGTTGAATATATGCAACATTTACTTTTGTCTCACCTCAATCAATTTTTAGCTTTTTTTTTTTTTAAGTTGGGCATCTCTGGCCTAGACGAAGCATAGAAATAGAAATGCTTCCGTTTACTGATTGATTAAATATGTTGAAAAATAAAACTCTTGGTGGAAGGTGGGCTGAATTTGGCCTGGGTTTCTCAGATGAAGTGTGGTGTGTTTCAGGGCCGAACCGCTGTAAGCTGCAGGACATGCTGGCTACCCTGCGAGACGCGGAGGATCTGTCGTGCATCCAGCCTCCGGTGGCTCCTCCGGTCCGTCCCAGCCTGCCCCGCCTCAACGAGCCCCCGCTGGGACACACCGACGAGGGTACTTCTGACACTCAGGGTCCGGCTCAGCCCTCTGCAGCCGCTGCTGTGTGCTGACGTGTGTGTGTGTGTGTGTGTGTGTTTCACAGTCGAAGCTCTGACGTTCCCCCCGTCCTCGGGAAAGTCCTTCATCATGGGGACAGACGAGGCGCTGGAGAGCGAGCTGGGTCTCGGAGAGCTGGCCGGACTCACCGTGGCCAACGAGGCCGAGAGTCTGTCCTACGACGTGAGTCCAGACACGATACAAACATTCTCATTACTGGAAGCCAAATACACATGAACTGTAAAAAACACAAGCTTGTTTCATTTCAGGTAGTTGCCAAGGCAACATCTCTCGTTTTTGTTTAAAGTTGAAGTACTAAAATAACTAAAACAAAAAAAAACTATATAGACATAATTAAAAAAAAAAACTAAATTGCTAAAAATGTACTAAAATTAAAATTGAAACAGAATATAAAAATTAAATCTATTTCAAAATATTAAGAAAAAACTGTGTTATTTTAGTATCCTTGAGATACTATTATAGTTTTTATTATTTTTATAATATATATGTGACCCTGGAGCACAAAACCAGTCACAAGGGTAAATTTTTCGAAATACGTCATCTGAAAGCTGAATAAATAAGCTTTCCATTGATGTATGGTTTGTTAGCATAGGACAATATTTGGCTGAGATACAACTATTTGAAAATCTGGAATCTGAGGGTGCAAAAAAATCTAAATATTAAGAAAATCATCTTTAAAGTTGTCCAAATGAAGTTCTTAGCAATGCATATTACTAATCAAACATTAAGTTTTGATATATTTACGGTAGGAAGTTTACAAAATATCTTCATGGAACATGATCTTTACTTAATATCCTAATGATTTTTGGCATAAAAGAGAAATGTATAATTTTGACCCATACAATGTATTGTTGGCTATTGCTACAAATATACCCCAGCGACTTAACACTGCTTTTGTGCTGCAGGGTCACGTATTGTATATTATAATATATGTAAATATCATGATGCATATCAGTTTTTATTTTTATAATTTCCACTTTCATTTTAATTTAAAAGTTTAAATAAATACATAAATAAATAAATACAAAGGCAAGATCTCTTATTTTTGTTGAAGTACTTAAAACGTAAAAACTATATATTTCAAAATATATATTATATAAAATATAAAAACAAAAAACTAAAAACAAAATTAGTAAAAATTAAAATGAAAACGGAAATATACAAATAACATTTTTCTAAATATTATCGTTTTCTTAATTTTAGTTCTCTTGCTATTTTGTTTTTATTTTATTTCTCATAAATAAAGACAAAACTAAGATGAAACATTTATTATAATGGGTTTATAGGATGATTGTTAGTTTGTTAAAAATTTAAAACTTTTACCAGATTGATCATGTTTATAATTAATCATAATGAAAGCGGTTAGATGATATTTTATTTTATTTTATTTCATGTTTATTTTATTTTCAAGTATGTTTTATGGTTTTAGTTGTAATTTTAGTTAACTATAATAACCGTGGTGCTCGGCCAAAACTATTTAAGCAAAACATTATTAATATTTTAATTAAGTGAATTTATGTTTGCAGCTGTAGTATGCTGATTTATATATATATATATATATATATATATATATATATATATATATAGTATTTGATACTATGTCAAAAATGGCATTTTTTACAGTTAATACACAAATAGTCTGATCGAATAATGAGTCCAGAAATTGATGGTAAAATGCGAGCTGGTATTTCAGTTCCTTCATCAGTGGAAATGTGCTGTATTTGTGAATGTGTTTCTCAGATCACTAATAATAAAGATGCCCTGCGGAAGACGTGGAACCCCAAGTTCACGCTCAGAAACCACTTCGATTCGATCCGCGGTCTTGCGTTTCACCCCGTCGAGCCGGTTCTGATCACCGCGTCTGAAGATCACACGCTCAAACTGTGGAACCTGCAGAAAACCGCCCCGACCAAGAAGTGAGAGTCTCATTATACTGGTCCTCATTTAGGGGTTTGATTCATATTTGAAACTAGATTTTATTTCTATACTTTGTTTTCATTTAAATGTAGGTTTTTTTTTCATTTCATTTTAATGTCTTTTTTTTTTTTTTTTTATAAATTAAAGTTAAACATTAATATTTACAGTATATCAGTTTTTTATTAGTTAATTTATTTTTCAGTATTTACTTTTTTATTCGTTTTTAAAATATTACAATTTAGATTCATTTTTTATTTTATTTTTTTATTTCAAAAGTTTTATTTCAGGTTTTTAATCGTTTTTTTTTTTATAAATTACCATTTAGGTTTAATTTGTTTTATTTCGGTTTTATTTCAGTTTGTTTTATGTTTTTTGTTTTTTTTAGGTTTAATTTGTTTTTTATTTCAGCTTTACTTCAGGTTTTCATGAGTTTTTTTTATATATTACTAATTAGGTTTAATTTGTTTTATTTCTGTTTTATTTCAGTGTTTTTTTTTTTTTTATTATTACTATTTCGGTTTAATTTATTTTTATTTTAGTTTTTAATTTAGTTTTTAAATATTACTATTTAGGTTACTTTTTATCATTTTCTTTTTATTTATTTTTTTAGCTTTTTATCATCATTTTTTTTTATTTTTTCGTTTTTTTAAATATTAATATTCAGGTTTTGTTTATTGTTATTTCAGTTTTTTTTTATATTACTATTCCGGTTTAGTTTGTTTTTATTTCATTAGTTTTTATTTATTTTATTTCCAGTTAGAAATTTTAGTGCTTAAATTTAGCGTTTTCATTTCAGCTTTTTCAGTTTTTTTTTATTTTTATATAAAAAATGTTTTATTAATATTTCTATTTATTTATTTATTCTAATAGTACTATATATGTTTCATTTGTTTTTATGTTTCATTATTAAGTTAGTAATTGTGGTGCCTCAACTTAAACTAAATGAAAAGTAGAGACGTTTTCCTTTCATCTTTATTTCAGAAATGTCGTAGTTATAGATAATAGCCCTGTGTTTTGCTGGTGTCGGTCAGTGTAACGTGTTGTTGTTGTTTCAGGTGCACCGTTCTGGATGTGGAGCCCATCTACACCTTCAGGGCTCACAGGTGTGTGTGAATCAGGTCTAGATCTTATAACCGGGATAAACCAGCAGCTGTTTGATGTGGTGTATGTCTGGTCTCAGGGGTCCGGTTCTGTGTGTGGTGATGAGCTCCAGCGGTGAGCAGTGTTTCAGCGGCGGTTTGGACGCCAGCATTCAGTGCTGGAACACACCGAGCCCCAACATCGACCCGTATGACTCGTACGGTGCGTCCCTGTCCCCTGCAGACGCCAGTGAGTCTCAGTGAGAGTGTGTGTGATCGAGTGTGTCTGTGTCTGCTGTAGAGCCGTCGGTGCTGCGGGGGGCGCTGTCTGGACACACAGATGCAGTCTGGGGTTTGGTCTACAGCTCGGCTCATCACAGACTGCTGTCGTGCTCCGCAGACGGGACGGTGAGGCTCTGGAGCGCAGCGGATACGACGCCCGCCATCGCCGTCTTCAACCAGGACAAAGGTACTGCACCCAAACACACATCAGTTTGCAAGACATTTTAGTAGATTTTATGCTTGTGAATGAGCTTTTGTTTGTTTACCACACATCAGTTTACAAAAATGTGTTTTATTTTTTATTTTAGCTTTGAAATGGACCCAAATTTAACAGTCTTAAAGAATTAAAAAATGATACCACACGGCAGTTTACAAAAAATATTTTTATATATATATATATAGTGTGTGTGTGTGTATATATATATATATATATATATATATATATATATTTATTTATTTCATAAATGAATTAATGATCTTTTTGTTGTTGTTTTTTTTAGTTGTTTTTTTATGAATTTTTGATTTTGAGTTTTTTGATGAACAAACCCCAAAATAATATTTTTACAAAAAAAAAAAAAGACCAGTTTTAAAAATCATCAGTTTAAAAAAAATAATTTTGCTTGAGTTGAGTTGTCGGTCGTTCATGATGATTTCAGCTGTGAAAAGCACAAGCACATGAAACTCCTTCTGTTGTTTTCTGTGCGGTTCAGAGCTGGGCGTCCCGTCGTCGGTGGATCTGGTCTGCAGTGATCCGGCTCACATGGTCACGGCCTTCACTAACGGCAGGTTGGGCATCTTCAACATGGAGACCCGACAGCTGGTGCTGGAGCTCGAGTCGCAAGCCGCCGGAAAACCTGGTACTTCACACACCCTTTCTGTGATTTTAGCCACAGGACTCGATGAGATCAGTCACGTGCTGCTGAGTCCTTAAAGGAACACTCCACTATTTTTGAAAATAGGCTAATTTTCCAACTCCCCTAGAGTTAAACAGTTGAGTTTTACCGTTTTCGAATCCGTTCAGCCGATCTCCGGGTCTGGCGGTAGCACTTTTAGCTTAGCTTAGCAACTCTCATTCCGGCGTAATAATCAAGGAACTTTGCTGCCGTACCATGGGTGCAGCAGATGCAGCGCCTGAAAATAGTCCCCAGCATGCTCCCAGTGCAAGCAGGTGGTCACGTTGGTTATGTTGACGGAAGTTAGCCTATTTTCAGGCGTGCCGTAATAACATTGCACCTGCTGTCGGTCTTAGTATATGTAACTACAGAAGAGTCAAGTTCTAAATAGGAAAAATATAGAAACTCTTTGGTCATTTTTGAGCGAGATGCTAACGGTCTAATCAGATTCAATGAACTATGCTAAGCTACAGCTAAAAGTGCTACCGGCTGAACGGATTCGAAAATGGTAAAACTCAACTGTTTAACTCTAGGGGAGTTGGAAAATGAGCCTATTTTCAAAAATAGTGGAGTGTTCCTTTAACATCATCTCTTTTAGTTTATTGGTGCTTGACGTAAAGAAGACCTTTCTAGAAATCTCAATTAATGGAATCATAATAGTTTAGTCATGAGTGAATGGAAAAGTCCCATGATGCTCTCTGACGTTGATGTGTTTGATGTTCAGATGCGCCGTGTCAGATTAATAAAGTGCTCAGTCACCCGACGCTTCCCATCACCATCACAGCACAAGAGGACCGACACATCCGATTCTTCGACAACAACACAGGTGACTGACAGATATTAACATTCAACTCAACTCAAGAGACTGAGTTTATCATTAGTATTTCAATCAGTACTTTGATTATTGATGTTGTTTTGGTTTTTGTTGATTACTATTAGTCGTTTAATATATATGTGACCCTGGAGCACAAAACCAGTCTTAAGTGTCAATTTTTTGAAATTGAGATTTATACATCACCTGAAAGCTGAATAAATAATATTTACGGTAGGAAATTTACAAAATATCTTCATGGAACATGATCTTTACTTAATATCCTAAAGATTTTTGGCATAAAAGAAAAATCAATAATTTTGTCCCGTACAATGTATTGTTGGCTATTGCTACAAATATACCCCAGCGACTTAACACTGCTTCTGTGCTCCAGGGTCACATATGTACATTTTATATGTATATATATATATACACACTTATACACAGTAAGATTTTTAATGTCTCTTCTTTCAGTCTTTTCTGCTCTGCAAGGCTGCATTTATTTGATCAAAAATACTGTAAATATTTTTAGAATTTAAAATATCAATTTTCTATGTGAATATCTGTTAAAATGTAATTTATTCCTGTGATCAAAGCTGTATTTTCAGCATCATTACTCCAGTCTTCAGTGTCACATGATCTTCAGAAATCATTCTAATATGCTGCTTTGCTGCTCGAGAAACATTTCTGATTATTATCAATGTTGAAAACAGTTGTGCTGCACAATATTTTTGTGGAAACTGAGATACATTTTTATTTTTCAGGATTCACAGATGAATAGAAAGTTCAAAAGAACAGCATTTATTTGAAATAGAAGTCTTT